ACCTGGCTCCTGGACAACCTCGGGGATCAGGAGCCCTGGGGGGTCAGGCTTTGGTGGGGCCACAGGAAGGTGGTACTGGGAGCCATTCAGCTCCTGCAGCTGCTGAATCTGCATCTCCTCCTCAGCCTCGAACTCCATGAACCTGTGAGGAGGAAGGTCAAGCCCTGCTGAGAGGGAGGTCAGGCCCCAACACAGCACCAGCCAGCAGGGAGGGGAGGACATGCCTGGAGTGGGCTGCACAGATCCTAAAAGGGCAAGGTCATTGGGAGCATTCCCGGGCTGAACCACAGTTCTGGGACACTTTTTCCTGGCATGTGCAGGGCACACGGTAAGACCACGGCTTTTTAATCCAAGTCAGCCTGTGCAGGGTCCTAGGGCCTCTCCTGTCCCTGTCCAGACCACACAAGGGAGCCTAGGCCAGTAGGTGCATTAGGGATGAGTTTTATGTGGACAAACCTGGGAACCACGCCCAGATCCAGGACTGAGGCTGGACTGTGAGTCCTTGAGGATGGAGGGAAGGGGAAACCAGGCTGAGGCTGGACCTTGTTTGGTATTTGAAAAGAGGGGACTGCCATAGAGCAGGGACAGGCAGACAGGGATGCACTCGGTGTCTGAGGTACTGGCTTCTCCTGACCAACCTCTTCCACCCCAGCCCTTCTGGGATGGCAGCGACCGAGATGTGGCCACTTTTCCTGAGGAAAGGCCATCCCATCCTCTCCGAGTCAGCAGCTCCAGGAAGGCAGTAGGCTGGATGGCCGAGCTGACCCCTATCCTGGAGGGGACCCCCATTGGGCTGCCCTGGCTCCTGCAGCCCCTGCCCACTGTCTGTATCTAGGTAGGGGTAGACCAAGACCCTATCAAGGCCCTCACGCAGACCCCATTGTCACTCACCCTCACCCACCACACGACCCCGTTGCCCAGGGCCCCAGACTCACTTGGCCGCCATGTCATAGTATTTCCTGCGGTCAAAGGAGCTTGTGCGCTGCCATTCCTGCATGGCCCGGGACAGGCCCTCTTCCAGCGACATGGTGGGCCTCAGTCGGGACAGGGACCGGAGCACTGGGCTGTAAGTGCCTGGACTTAGAACATTCTGAAATCCTACCCCATCCCCAGCTAACCCAGTCCCACACACCTCCCCTGCCCTGGGCCTCATTACATCTGTCCCATGTCAGTCCCTCTCTCAGCCTCCTCCCTTCTGTGCTCCTTGGACCCCAGCATCACTTCCCATGATCACTCATCAGCACTAATCACTTCAGGTGTCCCCTGATGTCCATGAGTCCCCAGTGTCTGTACCTCTGTGCTCAATGTCATGTCCCCCAAATTCCTGTGCTGAAAGGGTAACCCCCAATATGATTATTCTAAAGTGGGTTTATTGGGAGGTACTGGATTTAATCCTATTCATAATAGTCAAATTCCCTCCGGGGTCCTGCACTCCTCAGTCCCCTTCCACCTGATGACCCCATGGCCAACAGCACACAAGTCCCTGCCAAGGTGGGAATACAAAGGTGGAACAGGCTTATGGAGCCCAGAAACTAAGACAAACTTTGACTCATGATTTATAAGAAGCGTTCTCTGAGTTGTTTTCTCCTGTACATAGTACTGTAGGGTTTATTGACAGAGATGGGTCGTGCCCACAGACGGGCGAGGGTCAGTTTAGGTCAGTCACCTGACCGTGTGCCATGACTGGAGGGACGTCAGGATTGCAGAGAAGGTAGCTCTGCCCAGCAGATGTCATCCCCCTCTGAACCTGTCCCCAGGCTCCCCCACTGACTTCACCTCCTCCTCCTTCCCTGCCTTCTTTCTATGCAGCAGGTACTCACATGAAGAAGCAGGACAGAGCCTCGCCATCAGGACTCTGGGGCAGGTACTTCCTGGCCAGGGTTTTGAAGCGCTGCCAGCGTCGGAAGTTGTTGTAAACACTCCCGGGGTTAGAGGAGCTGTCCAGCGAGGCCATGGCCTGGGAGGTGTCCAATTGGTCATCAGCAAAGGCCCCTTGCGGCTGTGGCCCAGTAATCACTGGGGCCATGATGGGAGTGATCTGGGCCACCAGGGGTGGAGCTGGAGGAGGCTGAGCTGGGGTCCAGCCTCCCTGGATGACCTGGGAGACCCCGATATTCGGGGCAGGTATGGCAGTCTGCACAGCAGGAGCTGCCAAGAGGAGGGGAGGGGCACCTCCAGAGATGGTTCCCAGGGGGCTCCAGTTGATGGGGGCCTGATTCAGGACAAAGGCCTGACTGGGAGGAGCCTGAGGAGGCCCTTGTTCTGCATTAATTTGCAAAATGATGTTGACAGTCCCAGCTGCACTGGAGCCATGGCCTGCAACAGATGTCACCAAAGGTGTCACAGGGGGAGCAGACAGCACCAGGGGGCAGCTAGGAGGAAATGCTGCAGTCAGAACAGGGGTCAGGGTCTGCTCCCTGGGCAGCTGGTGTGCTGGGCCAGGAGTGGGCTGGGGGCAGTGCAGCGCCAGGAAAGATGTGGAGGAGCCAGAGTTCAGGGTCTTGTTCTGTCCCAGAACTGAAGATGCTGTGGAGAAAGGGAAATAGGTGGATGGAGAAAAATCGCTGGTCATGTCGGCCTGGATCATGGGTAATGGTCCTTCTAATGGGAGCTCCCAACAATCGCATGAAGGCCCAGAATCAACCAGGAATGAGCCAAGTTTCAGATAGGACAAAGTTGTGTGGAGGACAACCTGTCCCAAAAGGGCCTCAGGACAACTTTAGGAAAGGACAGCTACCCAGGTACCCCTAGTCCTTCAGGACACCCGTCCTGCTTGGAATACTAATAACAGATCATCTTCTCATTGGGAGTCACTGTCCTTCCTCTCTTGTAATGGAAACCAATCTTTTTTTTCTTCTTTTGAGAGTTTCTCCTCCATTCTCCTCTCGGGATCTTGGGCACGCACACACACACGCCTGGCGTGAGTTTTAAGCCACCAGGTCCGGGACGCAAATCGCAGTCGACTACGTGGGAGTCCAGCGACACAGCCATTACGCTAACTGCTGGTCCCAAAACCAATCTTTAAAGACTTTTCCACTGGAGAGCCCACAGCACTCCCTATCTGTCCCTGCTCATGACACTCTAGAGATGGGTGTGAGGAAACGCCTCACTTGCACAGTAAAGTGAAAGGTGAGGTTGCATCATGAAATACTGAACAAGATCAACACGTTCTGAAAACCCAGATTTCTACAAAATGGAAACAATTCCAGATTCTTTAAGGAAAGCCAAGCCTTTTGTGGTTAAATATACAAGGATTCTCTCCCTTATTCAGTTAAGGACAGCAGCTCCTTAAGGACAGAAGAGGAGCCACTTGGGGGAAGGAACAGCTGAGCCTCTCTGGGTGGTGGCAGTTAGAGCCCTTCCAGCCTCACTCATGGAGAGTCTTTCACTATAGATGCAGTCTCAGCTAAGCCTACTGAACAGTGTTCAACTCAGACCACTTGTCCCCTTGGTCCCTAGGATCAAAGTTACTACAGTTGCAGTCTCTCAGCCACCACCTACATACCCACATCGGTGTGACCTGTCTCCCTTCTAGAAAGCGCAACACCTCTATGCCATTCTTCTCTTTACCCAATATATTTCCTTTGTGTGGCTAATCAAACTCCAAGGTGCCCTCTTCCCCCATCTACAGCCTGAGCTGGCCATTGGCCAAGTCTCACAAGGACAATGCCCTTGGGGTGTCCAGTCTCCTCTCTTTCCTCTACTTCAGTCCAACCAACTGTTACCCAGTCAAGAGTCCAATTTAAATTCCCAAGGACTTGGGATGGTAGAGAGTTTGAAAACAATTCCATATCCCACGGACTTACCTCCTACTGAAACCATCCTCGCACGATGGGGCACTTCACACCTCTGTCGATAGCCTCCACTATGGGAAAAGTGAAGCACAGAACCCAGAGTGTGATCTGCCTGTGGCAGGTGCTCAGTATTCCATATGGGGCAGGGCAAGATTTGAATTTATACAGGTAGAATGTGGGGCAACAGACGTTCTGTGGGGGAGGGGCAGAGGGAAGCTGTCCTGGGGTGGTGAGGGAAGGCATTCCATGGAGAGCTCTAGCAGATGGGCACAACCCTGAAGTTCCCTCAATAGTTTAGTGGCAGCACTACTGGTGTCTGCCTCTAGAGGCAATCTGAAAACTTTAGATTTCACTTCATATCCCTGTTACTTCATTTTTATTTTAATAATAAACCCACTTTTGTGTTCCTTGTCTCACCCTGATTCCCTCACACAGAGTAAGCTCTTAGTAATTTTAACAGTTACTGCACTTACTGTACAAAGTGAGGACATATAATCTAATAAATACCAGGGAGATGAGGGCACGGGGTGTTTGGAAATTCACTATTGTTGGCAGATGCAGAGTATTCGCTTGCTCTGTGCACTTCATCCTTCAGGAAGCAATTGTTTTGCTCCAGGTGTGGTCCATTCCTGGAATCTCTGCAGACTCCGTTGGGACAGTGTCACTTTGCTGGAACCCCATTCTACAACTAAGAATGACTTTGTAGCTAAAAAGTCCCAGAAAATCCCTTTTTAATTCTGAATGTATTGCATTGTTAAATAGTTAAATATTTATACATTTAATGATTTTTTTTAATGGTGTAAGCAGATTCATTAAGGACTACACAGAGCGAACTACTTCATAGGTGAAGCAGACAGGTGAGGGGAGACAGGTGAACAGTTTTGTTCCTTCCTCTGAGGAGAAGAGGAGAAATGTTACCTGATAGAAAAAATAGAACGACTGCACCTTAGGCAGACAGCCACCCTTTAGTGACTTCAATTAAAATTTTAAACAAGGAATTTAAATTGCACAGTTCCAAAGTTAAGTTGGGCACAATGGAAAATGCAGTGAGGCGTTTCTTCCACCCCTTTCTCTTGGCCATCCAATTTCTTTCTGATTGCACACCACAGTGATGTGTTTCTGTTTGATCTTTCCAGACATATATCTTGCAAACTAACCACATGTGCAAGTTCTTTTTAGTTTTTATAACTGATTTCAGAATTTTATGAATAAAAATTGATATAATTTTCAATAATTTTGCTGATATTTATTATGCTTATCTTTGTATTGTATTTACTTTAGTGGGCTAGATTCCTAGAATGAGGAGGTCAACATAACCTTAAAATTGAATATATCAAAAATATTCACATTGCTTAATTTAGCAAAGATAAATAAAAGATGCCCAGTTGAATCTGAATTTCAGATAAACAGCAATCCAATTTTCAGTTTAATGTTCTTCATGCACTGCTTGGGATAGACTTTTAGTAATATATGCTCATTTTTTAATTTAAATGTATTATTATTATTTACATTTTTTCCACATTTTATTGATTCACAAAATACCTTAAACTTAACCTATGGGCAAAGCTAGAATCTAGTTACAAGTGCAGTGTAATTGTCTTCTGAAACATTTTTAATTAATTAATTAATTTACATTTATTCCCTGAGCATTGTCACAGCATACAAAATGCGATTTCCCATCCAAAATATACTCCAGAGTGGCTTAATCAAACATATTATCATCATTAATTTTCCATTTCTAGTTTCATATATATACACGTATATACATTTTTTCACCCCTATTTCTCACCCTCAGATTTAGTTCCTACTTGCGTTTTATTGGCATCCTGTGTTTTAGCTACGATCCTACCTACAAAGTGTACTGTCGTGGGAACCTGCAGCTGAGTATGTGTGTGTGAGAATGGAGAAGAAGGGATTGCAGCATGGCCGTCCCCACTGAGGGATGATTTCTTGCTTTTTGTTTCTCTGTCCAGCGAGAGAGAGTATGTGCCCTAAAAGCCAAAAGAAAAAGAAAACCTCTCTCATAAAAAAGTGCACTATCTTAAGCTGTTGTGTTTCACTCATCCTTTAAGACAGGGAACTTGCAGTAAAGAGACTTAAATGTAAAACTTGACTCTATCACAGATTACAAAAGTTGCAGGAAGAACCCTGCAGGCTGGCGGGATGATGCAGAATTTGAAGTAGCTGTATACACTACTGAGTCTCCAAGCTGAGGTGGAACAGTATTAGGTGCAAAAAGCAGAGGAGACTTTCCTCTCCCTGGTGGAAAGGTAACAATTCCTAGAGCTCCGGTGTTCCAGGTACTTAGATACCCACCACCCGGTGTGCACTTGCATATGACAATCCCCAGAAACAGATGTGATGGTTTCTTCTCAGACTATTTTAAGTGCAAGTCAGTGAGTTGATTCATCACTATTTTGTTATTGCGACCCAAAATTCTGCTGTATGTTAGGAGGTGCAGGGTGTAGAGGGTAAGATCGTTCCTACACCACCTGCTGTGTCAACCGAAATTAACCCTGCATGTCCAGTCCTGATCAATGCTGTAACGGCCATTTCAAATACAACATTATGAACCACACTTATTGAAAAAGGTCCAGTGTCGTACAAATACACTTAGAAAAAGACATGAAGTAGGAAAACCTCGAGGAACTGAGTGAGGAGAACATCCACCTAAGAGCATTTCCCAGGTCTAAACTTGGGCTGAACCCCTCTTCCATGGAAGATTCACACTGAGTAGTGATAAAGGGCATGCTATTTTACAGAAGATGTGAACAAGAATGAAACGAGTGAGCCAGAAGGGGACAGACACACTCGTGCCTACTCGAGGGTCCTTTCCCAAAGTGTTGAACCAAGGGTGGCATCCAGATGCTTGCACAGCAGGGTTGTAATCCAAAAATTATGAACAGCTGTTTCAGCCACACACGTTTTAGTTTGTTTGTTAAAAGAGATTTGTGCTGTGGGACGCCAGAGAGACAGAGAGTCAGAAAGCTAGAAATCACCCTGCTTGAGTTTTAAGCTGTCAAACTGTGTTCGCCTCTGTGGTAGTCCAGCAAGGTAACCATTACGCTGTTTGCGCATTTAAAAGAAAGACAGCGCGGGGTTCCGCAAGGACGTGTCTCCACCGCCCTAGAAACTTCCAGGCGGCCCTTGCAGCCTATTGCCCGGCTCCTTGGCAGCGCCTCCAGCAGCTGTTCACGTGCCCTGTGAGCATGCCCTGTCCTAGGTCACGTCCTAGGTCACGTGGCCCTCTCACTAGAAGCCCTGCGACCTGCAAGGGCTCCCAGCGTCGGTTGCGGGCGGTTCCGGCTCAGGGCAACGCGCAGGCCCGAGCGGCAGTTGGGGCTGGGCGGGCATGACCTTCCCTCCATGGAGGCCCTGGTTACATGAAGAGGAGGTAACGGACGCCCAGGCTCTGCCCCTCCAGGTGCGGGAGCGCACTTGGCTGCGCCTGCTCGGGGCGCGTCCCCTAGTGTGGCTGTTCTGTCC